TGATCTGATTGTATTGTGTTGGATGTAACAGGGAAATGACCTCATTGCTGTACAGTGTGTATGTACTGTGTGTATGGAGTTGATTGTGTATGCTTATTATATTGCTGAGGAAGAGCAGTTGTTGGCAGGGTAAAACAAATGAGGAGGAAACTAAATGTCAACATAATTATGGACTGAACTGTATACTGGTTCAGTACTTGAGAAGGCAATAATGTTTCCTGTTTTAATTGTTTCAGAAAGTACTTGTACACGAGAGGTTGTGCATGTGTTTGTTGCAGCAGACTTCTTTTTGAGGAAGTATCGCAGATGTTGAGCAACAGTTTTCTTAGATCCTCTTTTACTGACTTTTGCTTATACTTTCATACTTTTTCTTTCATTTTTCTCACTTGCTCATCTCACCAAATAACAACAGCGGCTCTTACCGTCCTTTCATTCCTCTCCGAAACCTCTGGTCCCGTCGAGACATCCTGTCCTGCCAGTTCACCGATAGACAACTGTCACTCAGAAATAACCCTCCAAGTTGAGAAATGAGCCCGTTCGCTGCATGAGTTCACAAGCAGAACATACATATACTCAGCTGTGACTGGTGGCAGGCGTCGTCATGTGCTTACAGGCTTCCTGTGCATATGAGTTCCCTCTCTGTACAGAGTGCGTGTGTGAGAAAAAACTGTGACCCACTAACACCAGCTGGGCAGCCTGCTGGTTGCAGAAAAATAGAGCTGTCTCATTAAAGAGGTTCAGCTCCACCCTCCTGCTCTTGTTTCTTGCAAGACCTCTGGGAGCTACAGTTACACTCCTCCTGTGGAGACTGCAGAGAGGATGAGCTTACAGACTCTTAAACATAAACCTGCATGGGTGTTTAGGGGTTAATAAGTGTGTGTTTTTCTCGGAAGTGATGTGAGAGAGTTTGTAAGTCTGTGTTTTTTGAAATGGGTTTTGTTCCCATCAGCACAGGCATAATCTCTTTATGAATGCCCTAGTTACTGCAGTGTCCTGATCCTGCAGTGAAACTCACTATTCATCAAACACAGATGAAGAATCCACAGAAAGGGAAACAGCTCAGAATTAAAATAAACTGGCCTCCAATACTGTTCATTATGAAATTTATATACCCTCACATGATCCATTTCTTAGTGGCATATACTGTAGTTTTTTAAATGACATTTTCTATCATCTATCATCTATCTATCAGTGTGTGCTACTTTATACTTCTACATCACTAAATTATAGAGACAAATATTGTAATTTTTACTCCATTACACTTATTTTATATCCTTACTTACTAGTTACTTTTCAGGCTCAAATTATTTGAGAAAATACAGCATAATTCTAAGACTTTATTTATCTCCAGGGGAAAATCCATAAGCTAGTACCCAGTGGTAGTTCCCCCTTTATTTGAATGCATCAATAATTACAGTCCAGTAATATGATATATTAATGTTAAATATACCATTTTGCATAATGTGAGTAGTTTTAGTCTTTCAAGTATATTTTAATGTTAATACTTTTGTACTTAAGTAAGATTTTGAATGCAGGGCTCAAAACACATTTTTACACTGTGGTATTGCTACTTTTACTTAAGTAAAGTTACACTGTGTGTAACATACAGTCGTCAGTGATTGTAGGTGTTTCAAGAAAATAGCTGCTGTTGTCATTGGTCATTTCTTTATTTTAGAGAGCACTGTCAGAAGTGTACAAAAATGCACCATTATCTTCATAGACCACACAAAAAACCCAGATGTTAAAAGCACATTGAGCTACATGATAGAAACAAATGTGAGCCCAAATGCAAAATGAGATTCAATAGTGGCTGAGCATACATTCGAGGAAAATGTAGAAAACCAAGCACAGCACTGTAAACAAGTGTTAAAACTGTAAAAACTCTCACACACAAAGTAGCTCAAATATTTTATACTGAAATTAATCTACTCTAATTTGTGAAATGAAGACTACATTTCTGCTTTTTCTCAGCATAATTTAAAAACACTAATAAATGTGAACAATTCCCCAACAGTGTTGAAGGAGGTACATCATAAAAAAAGAAAAACACGGAAGTGAAAGCTCCTTAGATGTAATTTAAATCCTTTTAACAATGCAAAAACACTCAAATTAACCATGATTCTACACTAATTAGTATTATGTAGCTGTAAAACAGTACCTTAAGTGTTGTAAATGGAGTGTTAACAGCTGAGGACCTTCAGCCACCACATTTGTTGATGCCTGAGCACAGTTAAGATGAACAGACTGCTTTTCAAGGATCAGATAAACACCACTTTAAACACTGCACCATGAAAAATCTGTTTCTTTTTTTTACATTTCCCCAAAATAGCAACTGTCTGTACATAGATTATTCAAGTGTTTGCACTTTAAAAGCCAAAAGCCACAAATTAGTGAAACAAACATCTAATAAAAACTCTAGTCTGACTGGATAAAAGTGTGGCCTTGGAGAATTATTTTTAAAATTGTGTCAGCATGCAGACAAGTCTGGAGGACCTGCCCTGAGGAAATTTTTGTTATCAGTCTTCACCCGGCAGATTCACGGTGATACTTGCATGGTAACACAAGTGATGTTCAACACAACAACAATGCACAAAAAGTAAATTAAAGCACAGCGTGGTCTCACAAAATAAACAGTAATCTTGATCCTGTATTTCAGTGGCTCTCAGCCTGGTTGTCAGGATCCCTGGCGAGTTACAAGGTGATTCATAGGACTGTAAATGACTATTGCAACATGTACAGAAGTGAATCTTGACTTGTGCTCTTTGTGAAATGGTGAATATTTTAAAATTTCTGAACAGTCAAATCATGACTAACAGGCTGAGAACCACTGCTACTTTTTAAAGAGACCCTTGTTTAAAGTCTAAGTGAATGAAAATGTAATATGTGGAATGTGTCAAAGCTTTAGCATCTTTGGCAGGTCGGTCATTTACAATCAGAGATCAAGCCATAGCACCACTTTGGATTTTTTGAGGTCACTTCCTGTCTGTTGGTCTCTCACTTCCTCCTTCGCCCACAGTATTTACCTTGACAGCCAGCACCTTAAAACAGAACAGAGACAATTATTCTTCCCCTAAGACACAAATTGTGTGGTTAAACATTTCACTGTAAAATATGTTCAGTTAATGCAACTTGAACATTTACTTGCTGCCTGAAAATCTGAGTTAACTGAAGAATTTGTTTGAAGGGTAAAAATGCAGAGAGGTTAAGACACCATTAAGCCATCAAAAGTTGAATCCCATTATAGTCAGAATAGCATCGCTGTGACAGTATCTGAGCTGGAGGAGTAATTTTCATTTGCAACACGTCCACATAGTTCCTGTATTTGTGGTTTCAAGACTTTGTGTCATGTCATAAACAACACAGTTCTGTGGGAACCATTTTGTACCAGAGAAAACCCTGCGTTTTATACAGAAGCTGCTCCTGGTGACTTTGGGGGTCAACCATGTCATGGTTGTTTTGTAAAATGTTTCTATCATGTAATTTTTATTTAAACTAGAAGTAAGAAGACTGGAAACCATGGAAGTGTACCAATCTGTTAATTGCATGTCTTTGAAAATTATTCATCTGATTTCAAGTTACACAAGTCAGAGGTCTGAAAGAGGTCAGAATAATTGCTAGACATTTTTAGTTGACTGATTTTCACATAATTCCAGTGGAGTGTTTTACAGGATGTAGATATGGCTCATTGTAAAGTAATTCAGTGTATTTGATTTTTTACCTCTGTAGTCCGTGCCACCCAGTAAGCCCTGCATGGCTGCGTATTTGGCTGCAATTTGTGCACTGGCTGTATAGGATAACAAAGCAAAAAGGAAATTCTATGGGTGTATACAGACTCCAAAACTCTATAATAGTACCATGCACTGGAGTTTATGAAAGCATACAAAGCTTCTTTTTTTTTTTACAAGTTATCATCCTCCTTGACTTAATTTCTTTAAGATAATTACAAGACATCAAAAATTAGCATTAGCAAAAGTTAGCATTTCTGTCTTTTATGTTGGAGATTAAAAGTCCTCTAAACTAAATATTAAACAGTTGTCCAACAAGGAGCGATTCTAGCTCTAGTTCATTGTGTGTTTGTATATACGATATGTAGTATGTGTAACAGTATGTAGCATGCAGGATAAACAGTATATGTGTTAAGAGACTGCAGCTAATTAGAGCAAGTATAGTGAAGTGGACACAGTGAGTTCTTACATTTTTGCCCAGTTGGTGTATATCCTAGAGGACAATAAAAGGAAAGACAAAGTCATAATGAACACAGTTTTTACAATGGTGTCATTTAAAATATGCCAAAACAAATATTCACCGTACAAGGCCTGACACTCAGGATAAAGGCATTTCCTACTATGTGTGCATGTAACCATGTGTGTTGCTCCTTTTTGAGGCATCTACAAGGTTTCTCAGAATTTTTCATTCACAGTATTGCTTCTTCAGTCATTATTACTCGAATTATTAAAAGAGTGCTAAGTGTTACAAAGAGAGAGAATGGCTCTGTCTCACCTGGAAAGCCTCCACCACCAGGAACAGCACCCCCTGCTGGAACAACGGACGCATTACAGTCTGCACCACTCACAAAGTGCACCTCTAAGAATTAACTCACCACCAGGTAAAGTATTTACTATGTTCTGAATGTTGTGAACACATTTGTTTTCATATCTCAGTATATAAAAATGCATAGTATTATAGTCTGCAGTTTATTTTCTGTATTTTTTTCAGTGCTTTATTTAAACTGACCCGGCAGGCCACCTGCCTAGAGTGCCTAAACAGATGAGTACAAATATTCAAAAAATTACTGACTCATTTAAAAACCGCAGAAGGTAACCACACCACCATAACAGCACAAAGGTTATACTGATTTTGATTTTCACTTTTGACAGAAATGTTTCACATTTTACAACATTAACAAAAACAACCAGGCAAATTGTCCAGTGTCTGCTCTACTATATCTGAGGTAACTCTTCTAAATACTGTAATGTAGCATTAGTACAGTTATACTCAAGTAAAAATGTTATTATTTTAATTAGAATTATTTTTATTTTAGTTATCATTATCCATTGTATGTATTGTTTTGTAATTACTTTCCTTTTGACTAGAAACTCACCTGTGCCACCTCCAATGATGCCTCCTGTTACTGCACCAGGAATCCCTCCTACGCCTCCACCTGATGAACACAGGTGTGGTTCAGGTTATTAGATTACTTAAATGACAAGTAACTTAAGTAAGTTAATTACTTTGTGCACAGTAAAAATTTGGTGATCTGTTAGGTGAATAGTAGTCCCCCTGGCAGTGGTTTGGTCAGTATCCAACAATAATATTAATTTGTATTGATGGTTTAAATAACCATTGAAATGGTTAAATGAAAAGTTTATGAGCATTAGTTTAGAATTTTACCTGGTCCATAGCCATTTCCACCTAATGCCGATCCATAACCTGGTTTAGGAGGCTTCCCAATTGTTTGGCCACCAGGTCCAAACCCCCCTGGCCCAGTTCCAGCACCTCCCGGTCCAAAACCACCAGTTCCAGCTGGACCATAGCCTCCAGGACCAGCTCCTCCACCTCCTCCTAATCCTCCTGTCAGGAAACAGATGTAAATATATAAGCACACTGCAAAAAATGTCTCATGGGGAATGTAATGGTTTTAAATGGGTAAGGTTTTTTTTTTTTTTAGCTCTCATGTCTCTCTGTTCTTGTTTTGTTGTATTATATGTGATAGTTTTAAATGAACAGTGTGTGTTCTCACAGTATTTAACTATGTGACACCTATCTTAGGTTTGGTTCAGGTTAATTTTACTCATCCTGATCCTAACCTAAACCTCACCTGGGCCATACCCGGCTCCTCCATAACCTGGAAGAAAAGCATGAGAAAGGGCAATGTCAGACAGTGTTCTGCTAATTACTTCTCTTATAAAATCAAGTCAAAGAGATGTCTCCATCAGTTCATGTCATTGGCTGCATTGTCAATCAAACCTGCCTTTAATCTTTTTTCCATAATTTAATTCCTCTGTAAATAACTGTTCATTGCCTTGCATTAATTTTTAACAGGCAGCAAATAACATTCTAGTAACTTAATAGATATGTTTCCCAGTAAGTTAATTACTTTGTGCAGAGTAAAAAGTAAAACAAAGCAACAAATAAATAAACCAAAGGAACAGAGTGTTCTCCAGCAGTTGTTCCACTTTGCTTTGACCACTTCACAGTGTTTGGTGTGACTCCAGGGAGCTTAGTGTCCTGTTTCGACTGGCCCTCCTCCTACTGACAAGTTTAACTGTGGCTTGAGTTTAAGCTTAGATTGTGATCCAAATACCATGCACTTGTTTGGTCTTTACTGTTTTACTTGTATGGTCAGCACTCACCAGGTTTTCTTTTTTGGCCCCCTTGTCCGAAGCCACCTATTCCCGTGCCAGCACCACCTGGCCCATAGCCGCCTGGTCTCGTGCCAGCGCCACCTGGCCCATAGCCGCCTGGTCTCGTGCCAGCGCCACCTGGCCCATAGCCGCCTGGTCTCGTGCCAGCGCCACCTGGCCCATAGCCGCCTGGTCTCGTGCCAGCGCCACCTGGCCCATAGCCGCCTGGTCTCGTGCCAGCGCCACCTGGCCCATAGCCGCCTGGTCTCGTGCCAGCGCCACCTGGCCCATAGCCGCCTGGTCTCGTGCCAGCGCCACCTGGCCCATAGCCGCCTGGTCTCGTGCCAGCGCCACCTGGCCCATAGCCGCCTGGTCTCGTGCCAGCGCCACCTGGCCCATAGCCGCCTGGTCTCGTGCCAGCGCCACCTGGCCCATAGCCGCCTGGTCTCGTGCCAGCGCCACCTGGCCCATAGCCGCCTGGTCTCGTGCCAGCGCCACCTGGCCCATAGCCGCCTGGTCTCGTGCCAGCGCCACCTGGCCCATAGCCGCCTGGTCTCGTGCCAGCGCCACCTGGCCCATAGCCGCCTGGTCTCGTGCCAGCGCCACCTGGCCCATAGCCGCCTGGTCTCGTGCCAGCGCCACCTGGCCCATAGCCGCCTGGTCTCGTGCCAGCGCCACCTGGCCCATAGCCGCCTGGTCCCGTGCCAGCGCCACCTGGTCCGAAACCCCCTGTTTTTATGCCAGCACCACCTGGAATGAAGCCGCCTGGTCCTGTGCCAGGACCACCTGGAACAAAGCCGCCCGGTCCTGTGCCAGCACCACCTGGTCTGAAGCCTCCTGGTCCTGTGCCAGCACCACCTGGTCCGAAACCCCCTGTTTTTATGCCAGCACCACCTGGAATGAAGCCGCCTGGTCCTGTGCCAGCACCACCTGGAATGAAGCAGCCTGGTCCTCCTGGTCCTGTGCCAGTACCACCTGGAACAAAGCTGCCTGGTCCTGTGCCAGGACCTGGTCCTGTGCCAGCACCACCTGGTCCGAAACCCCCTGTTTTTATGCCAGCACCACCTGGAATGAAGCCGCCTGGTCCTGTGCCAGCACCACCTGGAACGAAGCTGCCTGGTCCTGTTCCAGTACCACCTGGAATGAAGCCGCCTGGTCCTGTGCCAGGACCACCTGGAACAAAGCCGCCCGGTCCTGTGCCAGCACCACCTGGTCCGAAGCCGCCTGGTCCTGTGCCAGCACCACCTGGTCCGAAACCCCCTGTTTTTATGCCAGCACCACCTGGCCCAAAACCCCCTGGTCCTGTGCCAGCACCACCCGGAACGAAGCCGCCTGGTCCTGTGCCAGCACCACCTGGTCCGAAGCTTCCTGTTGCTATGCCAGCACCACCTGGCCCAAAGCCGCCTGGTCCTGTGCCCACACCACCTGGCCCATAGCCGCCTGGTCCTGTGCCACCACCACCTGGTCCGAAACCCCCTGTTTTTATGCCAGCACCACCTGGAACGAAGCCACCTGGTCCTGTGCCAGCGCCACCTGGACCAAAGCCTCCTGTTGCTATGCCAGCACCACCTGGGCCAAAGCCGCCTGGTCCTGTGCCAACACCACCTGGAACGAAGCCGCCTGGTCCTGTGCCAGCACCACCCGGTCCAAAGCCTCCAGGTCCCGCACCACCTGGGCCAAGGCCGCCCACTCCTGTGCCAGCACCACCTGGTCCGAAACCCCCTGTTTTTATGCCAGCACCAACTGGCCTATAGCCCCCTGGTCCTGTGCCAGCACCACCTGGTCCAAAGCCTCCTGTTGCTATGCCAGCACCACCTGGGCCAAAGCCCCCTGGTCCTGTGCCAGCACCACCTGGTCCAACACCCCCAGGCCCAAAACCACCAGGTCCATATGTACCGGGTCCAGTACCTGTTCCACCCAGTCCAAACCCTGTACCTGGAAAACAGCCATATGTTTTAATAACCTAGTTTATGTGCTACAACTGCTACAAAGTGCTGGTATAAAAGACATATTTCTAATGATGTACTAGATATGGTATGTTATGTATTATGAGCAATACATTTTAACTCCTCCAGGTGAGAATGATTCATAGCATGGGAGAAGAAGATAATAAATGGAATATTTCATGCAACTTAATACATTATTATGTGTTGCTAATGTAAAAATACATAATCATTATACCTGATTTGGGTGGTTTTCTTAGCCCCACTCCTTCAGGGGTATAAACTCCAGGAATGGCCCCTGCTCCACCAGGTCCATAGCTGCCTGGTCCTGTGCTGATACCACCAGGTCCAAAACCACCTGGCCTGGTTCCGACACCACCCAGTCCTGTCCCAGCAGTGCTGGGCCCATATCCACCTGGTCCAGTGCCACCAGGTCTGTAACTACCACCACCAGGCCCATAGCTACCAATACCTGCTGGACCAAAGTCAACTCCACTTGGTCCACCAGGTCTAGCCCCAATACCACCAGCTCCTCCATAACCTTAAAACAAATATTAGTCCAGTTTCACTTCTCTGCATAAATGCTTGTACCTGTATGTATAGGCTACTCTGTATATCTGTCAATTCTTATCATACTTTTTGGTGGTTTGCCAGCGCCGGGACCCAGTCCTGGACTTGTGCCATATCTTGAACCTGTTTAATAGAGCGTATAAAATAAACAGTTAACCAGTATTTCAGTTACATGCTGTTTACAGTAGATGAGATGTATTCCCTTTCCAGCATAAGTAAACTTAATTATTACTACATTTTGATAGATGTTAACTCACCACCAGGGCCTGCTCCTACACCTCCGCCTAAACCTCCAGGACCAGTTCCAACTCCTAGGGTTCCAGCACCCCCAGGTCCAACACCGTATCCACCTGGACCAGCCCTGTAACCTCCGGGCCCCGCACCATAACCTCCTGGACCAGTACCAAAGCCACCAGGACCAACTCCACCCAGGCCTCCTGCTCCAAGAGTCCCATATGCTGATAGAAACAAAAACACTGAATGTATCATGCAGCTTCTTTCAGTGCTGAAGCCAAAAGTAGATGACTATATTGCTGACAATTTAAAGAACCTTTGCCTGGTTTTCCTATAGCTTGTCCTACTCCAGCTCCAGTCGGATAATGTATACCTGAGAGAGAGAACACAAACTTCAGTCTTGTATTTGCTGTAATTTAGATGGCAGATAGTGTAAGTTAGTATAAGAGATAATGTAAATTAGCATACCTCCACCTGGTAAAACTCCAGCTCCGCCAACACCATAGCCTATGATGGATAATGTGTGAAACATATAAATGAATGCATCATTGCAATATAAACCTAGGCATGAACACTTCACAAACCAAACCATCATAGCAGCTCACTTTTTCCAGGTTTAAGGGCTCCTGCTCCTATTCCGCCAGTCCCACTAGGCCCACCAGCTCCGGGTACCAAACCTGGTCCTCCAGGCCGTAGTACAACACCTCCTGGACCACCTCCCACTCCATCAACCCCACCTGGCCCACCACTTATGCCTCCGGCTAGAGTCCCATCAGGTCTGTATACTACAATTTAAAAAAGAAAAGAAAAAAACATATACAGAAATGGGTCTTTTTTTCTCAGGAGGCAAAGCCCATGTTTCTTTTTCTTTGTTAAATTGGAAGTTTGATACACAGTTGTAGATACTGAATGGTATGGGTTAGATAAGTTATATAAGACATAATGACGTGTACATTCAGATAAAACATGCACCTTTGGATGGTTTTGGTGTCCCCCCTATGCCACTAGCTGTACCTCCTGGGATTATTGCAACAGGTCTCTGTCCATCTCCTTCACCTGGTGTGTCACCTCTGGGTACATCTGCAGATACCAGACCTGTATTTAAGTGTAGGATTAAAACTGGAACTAAGAACAAAGTCAGTAAAAAACAATTACTTCCAAACCATCATTATGGAGAAGAAGCCTGGTGACCTCTGTTTTGAATGCATAATAGATATTGATAGGTGGCTGTTTCGTTTATGATTATCAAACCATATGTTACTTGTCTTTTCTCACTGGTACCCCGCTGTTTGGTAAATGGGAAGTACTGTAAGCAAGTTATTCTGAAACTGGAGTAGTACATTGTTTAAGGGTGAACTGGATTTTATCTTCACCTGGGGTTTTGATAGGTTTGGGTCCAGGCAGTGTCCCATCACCTGCATAAATTATACAGTGAAAGAAGTCAGGGAATAATTTTCTTGATTTCAGCCACAAGAACTCTGCCGAGTGGATATGAAGGCTGGGGAGGCAATTAAAAATCTCAGAAGAACAAGCAAACATGAGGCAAAGAATACTTTTCATTGAATGTGTCTAGTGGGAAATCTCACCTCTAGGGGGAGGTCGTGTACCACCTGAATTTTAAAGAGAGGGAAAATCAAAGGAGATATTAGACAACCTTCCTGTACTGTCAGCTGGGCAGTGCAGGCATCATTATGGTGAAGTGTGTGAGTGGCATAGGTTTTTAAGATCTTTGTATCCAGCTTTAGCTAGTGTCAGACCGTGCCATATCCTGCGGTTGTTGGAGAAATATTGTGATCTGCATCAAAATTAAAAGCATTTGTGCCAGTGTGATGCATCCCATGAGGTAGGTCTTATGTTTAAATTATGTTTGTGCTGCTTTAAAATCCATAGTCCTCTACATTAAACCATAAGCTCTATTAAACCCTACAAATACCGTAGGTGTTCAGTATACTTTATGCCAGAGCTCTATGCTTTATGCAGGAGCTGCTCCTGGTAAGTTGGCAGGAGCAGAACCTGTGGCATATCAGAACAAATTTATATTCCATATAGAAAGGAAACAAGTCAATTTGTTGATCCCTTGTAGATATTACATGTTGTTCGTTCAGTATTCTTTTAAATATTACCAGAATTAGCCACAGTGTGAAATTTTATGACATTTCAGCTTGGATTTGTAAATATACAAACAGATTTTGACAGAATTCTGGATCCCAGGGTTGAAATAAATTCTCTTCTATATCCCAAAGTTCAGAAATAGAGTGAAAGCACCAGACTTTGTACGTGACCACATGGTGGCACTGTCCACACCGAGACCTTAGAAACAATGTGGCTTTGTGTTAGATCCCCAAAAATACTTGACCAAACACAGCCTATGTTTTATCAGTGACACAGCCACAGAGGCACCCTGACAGAAATGGATGAAAAAACAAAGCTCTGGCTATGACACAAACACTGACCTGAAATTTCAGTCCCGTTGAGTCCTGTTTAATGAGAAAACATGAAAGTGAGAGGAGAACACAGATCAAACAACAGCTATAAGACTAAATAGTAGAGATTTAAGACAGCAGACTTTCACTTTTTTTTTTTTACCAGGCCACACAATGCAGTGTGTGTAAAGATACATTGACAAAGGAGTTTTATGCTCCCACAAGGAGTTTTATGTTATAATATCTTTCTCCCTCTTTATAATTGTTGTCATCTGTGTATAAAAGCTGCAGGATTTCAAATTAAGAAAAGACACTCTATATAATAACTGAGCAAGTTTAAACACACCTTCTCCAGAAATTCCAGACCCTTCTATCACACTGCCAGTAGCACCGTCACCTGGAATAACGGAAAAACTGAGATGTATAATTATGTCATATCAATAGTCAGAGAAGATAATGATCATATTGGAAGCTGGAATATGCAGTAGTTTGAAGTCAAATGAACAGGAAGTGCAACAAAAACATCTGAAATTCTGAAGGAAAATTGTGTAAAATACGGGGGCTTTTGCTAAGTGTGTGAACTGAATAATCCTCTCACCACTCAGTCACCATCACCTCCACCACTGTCTTTTCCATCCTTGTTAGGCATTTTTTTATTAACAGTGATGGAAATCCTGTGAATAATTGTATTGCTGTGGTAATATGAGACTAAAAATGTGTTTTATGCAAACTTTGTACAGATACCTTCTGTTGCTGGAACTGGTGTGCCTCCAAGTACTCCTCCTGATTCAGTAGACACAGAACATCACATATAGATTATCTAATCAATAATTCACCGTTACCAAAGATGTTTTTTCTAATCATTGAAACAGAAGCTCACCACTGGGTTTAGGTGTTGCGTCTGCTCTGCTGCCAGTGCTGGTGCCATTCACTGAAACACTGGGCCCTGCTCCTGCTGCAGGTGCAACTCCACCAGGCTGCACTGTAGTTTATAACAGCGCTGGGCCCTGCTCCTCCACCAGGCTGCACTGTAGTTTATAAAGAGATCATCTGGTAAATTCAGAAGTGCTGCTTATAAACAGCTCTGGCTCCTCAGTTCAAACAACTACATCATATAGACATGTTACACAGAGTTGTGTCAAACTACACCTTACCTAATTTAGCAGCTTTAGATCCAGCTGTACCATAGCCTGAGGTTGAGATGAGAAGATGGTGAGTATTGACTATCCAGGTGATAAACACAATGATCTAAAAAGCAGACTTGCACAGATTAGATTAATAGTGGCCAATAGGGCTACTGACTGATGATAGTTATTTTCCATGTTTGGAAAAAAGCTACAGTTTTTTTGGAATTTAAGCTGGAACGTAGCTTTGCTCAAACATTTTCTCCCTTCAACTACTTCAAAGATGGTGGATAAACTAATATCACAAGTTTTACCATGTCACCTTATTGCTGTTATTATTTAGCTTTTTAGTAGAGTGATATGTCATTGGCTGCATTGTCAATCAAGATATGACCCAGAAATTTGATCAGTATTTCAGTATAGCAGGCTGTGAAGTGAACTCACAAACAAATATATGTGACAATTAATGTATTTCACCATATTGCAACATATGGTTGTTGTTAACTTTAAAACTACTCTTGTCCTCCCACCTATCTACTCATGTTCATAGTTGCTCCAAAATAATCTCAAACCACTGTAATAAAATGAGTAACAGCATCATACTGTCATTCCAGTATTTTTATATACAGTATTACTTTTTATGTATAATTTCTTAAATGTGTATCTAACCTAATTATTGGATTTAATTACAGGGCAGGTGTAGTGTCAGAGACCTGCAGTTCCTACCAACCAACCATCTTGGAATCCTCAGTTATTATCATAGATAAATAACGCATGTACTCCAAATCCAAGTACCCCCACCATCACACCTTCCACCTTGATCAACATCTGAATTATATAAAAATAACTCTGCTTTTACTGTAATTTAGATCAATCATCCACCATCATGTTTTAAGGAACAAAAAAGGGATGTTCTGATACTATATTTAGCAGGTTTTGATCCAGGACCAAAGCCTGTAAATAACAGAAATTGTATAGTTTAGGGATTCCAGCAAGTAAGGAATTGGCTTAGTATGACTTGGAAAAATGTATTGGACAAAATTAAAAATTTCCCCTGAACCTGGTCCATATCCAATTCCTGGTCCTGTACCATAGCTGCCACCTGGTCCATAACCAGTCCCAGGTACAGGCCCAGCTCCAGTCCCGTATCCACCAGGTCCATATCCTAGTCTTCCATTCCCTAGTGCTCCTCCAGTCCCTGCACCACCATATCTTCCAGAAAGCCCTAAGAAAGGCAAATGGGTGAGAGGTCTAGCATCAAGTAAGACTTAAAATATATTAAATAAAATATATGAAGTCTTAAAATGTTTGTTACTTAAGAAAAATGACTGCAATTTTTTTTCTTCCTTGGAAATATTATATATTGAGATCATTTTTAAAAATCACCTCTCTTGATTGAATGTGTTTGAATTCAATTTACCAGACAACTGAACTATATGGGAAATGTCTTCTAGAAACAAAGTGTCTCGTAATCATCAACATCAAATTGCCCTCTACAGGATCCATCCATGTAACGGATGGATGGATGGAAAAAAACAGTCTCAGTCCACTTAGAGCACACAGTGCTCTTGAGAAACAGCAGGTTGATTTTATGGCAGACATTTTTGAACACAATTACATTCACAGATTTACTGAGTTACACAGTTACTGTAAAGACCACAAGGCTGGCTGATGATACATAAATTGATCTGAATTTAAATATTTCTTTTAAAGTTGTTTCTTACCATATTTGCGGGCTTTGGCAGCAGCATGATCTGCAAAATGCAGACACATCAAGAAATTTTATAAGTACTATATCAGGTATGTCTCTGTATTTACATATATTTGTATCTTTCATCATACCTCCAGGTCCATAGCCAGCACCACCAGGTCCAACGCCACCTGGTCCAAAGCCAGTACCAGCACCACCTGGTCCAAAGCCTGTACCAGCAACACCAGGCCTGACTGCTCCAGTACCTGCTCCTAGACTTGCAAGTACTCCACTTACCACGTCTATGGGGAGAAGAACACTTGGGTTTCATTTTTAATTTTCTTAGTTATACAATAAAACCATTAAATATATTTTTTCAATTATATAAATATTCTCCACCTCCAAATCCAGGTCCAACTCCTGGCCCTCCTCCAGGAAGTCCGCCATTTCCACCCACTAAAGCACCTCCTTGACCAAGCGCACCTCCTCCAGCTCCAGCTGGTTAAGAAAACAGATAGGTGAGCTTACAAAAATGCCAATACAAAGTATGTAAATTTTAGATTATGCTAATGCATCATGTCAGTCATTTTGCAACATATTAAATTATGTAACTAATACATGATGAACTTGTGGTTGACACCACAACTAATAGATCTTTACCATATTTAGCTGCAGCTTTTGCTGGATTCATCAATTTCCCTGCCCCTGTAATCAACAGAAGAAATAATTGAATATATAATAAATTATAAGAAATGTTATTTATTAATAATAATAATAATAATAATAATAATAATAGAGATGCATAGTGGCAAGAAGGTTCCAGGTGCGAGCCCAGGCCGACCCGGGGCCTCCCTGTGCAGAGTGTGCATGTTGCCTCTGTGACTGCGTGGGACTTCTCCAGGTACTCTTGACTTCTTCCCACGGTACAAAGACATGCAACTTATGTTGACACTAAATTGCCAGTTGAGGTGAACGTGTGTGTGTGTATGTGTGTGTGGTTGTCTCTCTCTAGGTTCAGCCCTGTGATAGACTAGCAACCTCTCCAGGGTGTACCCTGCCTCTTGCCCAGTGTAAGATGGGATCCCTCCCCACCGCAGACATTTATCACAGATTTCATGTAATTTGACATCTGCACTGATGGTTCTTGTGTACCTGATTTTGGTGATATGAGAGGATAACCACGAAAAACTCCAGGTAGCAGCTGTCCACGCCCATCTAAGGTGAGAAAAACACTTCAGAGATGCTCATATTATCAAATACTGGAGTTCAGCCTGGGAAAACATTTATTATTTGTAGTAATCTGATTATTCACAGGGATTGGCGACCTGTCCGGGGTGTACCCCGCCTTTGCCCGATTGCCGGACGGGATTGGCTCCGGCCCCCCCCCCCGCCCCCCCCCACG